AATGTGGCACCATGGGGAGTCCACCAAATGTTCCTGATGTTGCCTTTCAGCTCCAGGAAACAAACTGCTGTGCAAGTAACAAAAAATTACCTGCAGAGTCAGTGGGAGGAATAGCTGTTTTTCTGAGTCACCGAACCAGAAAATGTTCTTTTGACAGGATCATCATCACCTGCAGTCAAGATCAACAAAAAGGGTTTCCTGCCCCAATGAAGCTGCTATGCAGCCTTGCAGTTGCTTTTCTCAGAGTTCTTTCATTGTCCCTTTCGTTGTTTGTGCCATCTCTCTGAGCTGAGATGGGAACCAGGAGCTCTGACAGCAGGAGCCATTGCTGTAGATGCTCTGTGAGCCACCTCTGAGAGTGTCAAAGCTGCCTTTGCATCTCTAGAGTCACTGCTGCTGCTTGCCACCACAGCACACATGCTGGAGCAGCCCCAAGCTGCAGGATGTCCTAGATTATCATTGTGGTCCTTTTCAACCCATGCCATTCTATGATTCTATGATTCTAAATTACACGTATATATATAAAGTGAGCCAGCGTGTGGAAAAGTTGATTATGTCCACTCCTGACATGAGGTCACTTTGAAATTCCCCCATCCAAACCATGTTCTTTACCAGAACATAACAGCAGGAGATTTCTAGGCTGTGATGCTTCAGTGTAAGTGGAAATCAGGCCTAGGGGTTCAATTCCTAAATATAAGAGGGAGATACACTCTTGTAGTATTTCTGATTAATGCCTACAGTTTCAATGTATATTTACCACATTAAAAGAAAAAAGAGCAGCAACATCTGAGTGCAGATATTTTTGAGTAAATTATAGACTTTCTATTAAAAACATTTACAGCATCTGGAAGCCCATTAGACAGACTTCCATATAAAAACAAAAACAAAAACAAAAACAAAAAAAACCCAGAAACACTACATCCAGTTTTTACGTAGGAAATTTACGATCAAATGTGCAAATGTGCATGGTGGGAAGGATAAACTATTTGTCCCACATAAGTGGGAGTTTTGTTCAAGGTAATTTAATAGCTCATATTTAGAGAGTAGGATCCAAAACCTTTTGGAATAACTACTTCTCCAGAGAGATGCATGAATTTCTCTGGCATTCCTTTTCCTCTCCCATCCCAGTACACCTGTGTGAGCCCTCACTATGCTCACCCAGATAACTGTTGGAGAAGCAACCATGCTGCATTCATGCCATGCACAGGATTTAAAAGGCAATAGTATCCTATGGAAGAGCATAACGGGGTGATTTTTTCTTTGTGGCAGATGGCCTTTATTGTCCATTAATTTGGGACTAAGTCAGAATTTAGTGCTGGGCACCATGTGCAGGACATTTGTGCTATGAAAAATGAAGAGCTGTTGCAATCACAATTCTGTCGCGATGGATGTGGACATGAATGATCTCACAGGCTGCCAACAAATGGTGAAGCAAATGAGGACAGGGAGATAAAATTATGTACAAAGTTTATTTAATCTGTCATGAATTGAGCCTGTAACCTAGTCAGAATTTCACTGATTGTTTCTTTGCCACATTGATTCTTTGTTTTCAACTTCTCTGCAATACCAACTTTTAATAGATTGGGTAGAGGAGAAAAGTCATTCTGGAAGGAAAGCTCTTTTAAAGGCAACTGTACAGAAATGCTCTGTAGAACCAAGGTTACAATGTGTTCTCTTCCTTTGTCAAGAAATTCTGCTGCATACACACTTCTGAACCAGTGAGCCAAAACTGGTGAACAGTAGGCACGTTTTTAAAAGGTAATTTGCTGTAATCTCTGCCCCTGCCTTTGCCATTCCACAAGGCATCTTTGGAATACTGAACGTCATTTTAAAAACTGGGGTGAGGGGGAAAAAAAAGAAAGACTTAAAGTATGGGTGGGTTTTTTTGTTTTTTTTTTTTTTTTAGTTTAGGCCATATGCTCAGTAGGATGGCATAGTTCTGTTTTCAGAAAAGCTTTGTGATCTATGATTAGTAATAAGGGCAGTCCAAAAATATGCAGAATTGGGTGTTGGTAAAAGCAAACATATATTTACTTCAAAAGCAGATTGAGTTGTTGAAATTGCAATTCTAAGCTGTTCCTTTCATTACACTGTTTTGAAGCTTCACATGCCTACAGCACCTGGCATAAGAGCCTGCTGTAACCCACTTCAGTCCAAAACCAGCCTGACTAAACTGACGTTGATAGTGGTTGACCTAAATGAAGACACTTTATTTTTCAGTGGAATGGAGTCAGCTTTGAGATGTTAAATATCACCAAGTAGTTGGAGGCATCCAACTACTGTGGACAGCAACTTCTTAAGCAGTTCTGGCTGATTCTGCCAGTCAGCACCCAGTGATGGCTTGTTCACCTTGGTTTAAGTTGGTTCTGAACCTTGACCTAGAACTAAATAATTTTGATTTAGAAACGAATAAAAATGACCTTCTCGTTTAAATCAAGTTTAACAAAGCCATGGTTTATTGTAGACTTCGAAACTATAGCTTGACAGAGGAAGATTAAGCAAGTTCTAACTGTGTACTGTTTTCCCAGTTAAACAGTTTTCTTAACAGAGTTTTGATTACATCCGTATTTCCACTCTTCCCTTTGTTCCCAAGTAAAATTCTATTTTGCTAGGTTGTTTTATGAGATTGGTTAAGGAATGCAAATCTCAAAACCAAAGTTGTTTCAGCAACTTCTGTGCAAATATACATCAGAGTAGACAAAATGATTTATACAAACTTGGAGGTCCAAGGAATTAGAACAGATTTAGTCATATCAGGCACAAAAGTTCAGACAGAAAAAAATCAGTGGAAGATTCTTGTAAGCTCCACTTGGAAGATCCTGGTTATTTAAGAGCATCTAAGCATAGGCACACCCAACACGGAACAGAACAAACCCATCAGAGACTGTTCTCACTATTTTAAACTGTTAGTAAGTGAAACAAGAATTTTCTGCTGGGAAGAACAAGAGGGCATTGACCTGCCCTCCTTGCCTAAGCTAATCTCCAGTTACTCTAACAAAGCAAAGCCCTGTGCAAGCTTCTATGTCTTTTTCAAACTGCTACTTGTGAGTGGTGATACAGCCTTTCAGCTCTGTGTGAGCCCAAAGCAGGGCTGTGAGGCTGCAACTCTACAGGCTGCCTCAGGATGTTGAGTTGTTTGCATGTGCCTACAGCAGCTGCGAGTGATGAGGGGGGAAAAAAAACAAAACCAAAACCATGAAAATGTGCACTGTGTCCAGGCTGAAAGCATAATAAAAATGTATTTTCACTCAGTACAATGCTAGCTGCAGTAAAGTAGTACCATTAGATGAAAATAAGTTTTATTGTTGCTAATGGATAACTAAATATGTCCCTCTGTTCCATGTTCATGATTTTAATTTTCTGAGTATTGATATATTCCCACAGAAACCTTCCTGCTTCTTTCCTTTACTAGAAGGTACTGTGTTGGAGACAGCCACGTCTGTGCCCAATCACTCTTCGTAGGAACCCTTCTGCTGTTTTTGGACCTCACTTGCAAGGTAGTCACCTGGTGGAGATGTCTTCCTGGAGAGGAAAACACACAGTTTGCATCAGACTTACCAGACATCTCCCATCCAGCTGATGCTGGGCAAGCATCTGGTGTGGCCTCCAGTCATTTTGGTGTGAGAAGAGGAGCTCCTCAGCCCAATGTTCTCTCTTCCTTCTTTGCAGACTAAGGGCTATTTCCTCCAAGTGCACATCCTTTAAAAAAAGAGAATAGTGGAAAAACAAGGCAGAAATAAATTCTGAAAGGAATTATTACTATAGCACTGTGATCTGCCTCATCTGTGTTCTCTGGTCCAGTTTCCTAGCAGTGGAGGATAAACAGCAGACCTCAACCATTTGATGCTGAATTAAATTGCATTTCTGTTTGTTCATACTGAGAACAATTAATCTGAAGACTGCTGTTCATTTGGCATGGTAGGAAAGGCCTTTGGCTTCAGCATCTTTGGTGTATGTGCTTAGAGCAACATGGCATTTATGACTGAATTGACACCCGCTTAGCCTCTGCTGGAGCAGACTAACTGATGCTGGGTGGCTGCTGGTTTCTCTCCCAGCAGCAGAAGAGCACTGATGAGATGTCTGTGGGGTTGTGTTCCAGTAGAGAATCAGACTGCTGCAAGGGAGCAGCTGGCATCTTCCTGCTTGGAAGGCCATCTGTCCTTCAGCCCCTTCACCTATTGCTATGGCTGGAGCCCATTGACACCTCCAGCCATTTGCGACGACTAGAAATGAACAAGAGTGTCATGGGCTCAGGTTCCGGAGAAAAACTGTCTGTTGCTTGCTCTTTTTGGGCTCTGGCTTGTCACCATCACAAACTCGATGGTGTGATCACGTGTGACCTCGAGGCACAGCACTGACAGGGCACGCTGGGTGCAGCTCCTTTCCCCATCTCTTCTTTCTGCGCAGAGCAGCCCGGGCCAGGTGGGATGATGAGAGGCCCTCCATCCTCTGCCACCACACAGCAGGCTGTGCCCAGCTGCAGAGCCGCTGCTTCCCAATGGAGACAATCACCGGCTGCAAAGGTGGGTTTAGCAGAGAGGGTCAGCCGGCCCCACATACCCCGGGGATCAGATAAACCAAACGGGCTGCAGGAGTAACACGATTTATCTTCTGCTGCTGCCTCGAGGGAGGAGACCGCGATCTACAGCCCACGCCGCTGCGGTTAAACCCACACCACCCCGCAGCACAGCCCAACCGCTCCGGCGTTACCAGGAGCCCCGCGGGAAGGCTTCGGGTTCTCAGACCCCCCCGCCCCATCACCCACCCACCGCTCCGCTCGCGGCCCGAGCTGAGGTAAGTCCGTGGCGAAGTTTCGCTCCGCCCCGCGCCGGATCGGAGACGGGACGCGGGGCAGCCTGGCTGGGACGGCGCCGAAGGCGGGAGGGCAGCGCCGCCATTTCAGCACCCGCGCGGCCGCCCCGCGCCCGACAGAGGGCGGGCTCCGGCAGGCGCCCGGCCGAGCGAGCGGGGCCGCGCGGCGGGAGCCGAGCCGGGGAGGGCGCGGGGTAGCGGCTCGGCGGAGCCGGCGGCCGCGGGGAGCTGCGCGTAGCCGCGCTGAGGCGTCGCGTCCTGTCCCGCCTCCGCTGCGGAGCGCTGCGTGGCGGGCACCTGGAGAGGCGGAGGTAAGGCGGTAAGCCCCGCTCCCCTTTCCCGCCAACTTGCCCGGAGCGAACGGTTCGGTCCGAACCGAGGAGCTCCGTCCGGCCGGGCCGCTGTTAGGGAGCCGTAGGGTGGGCTGGCTGCGGTGCTCGGCCGCTCGCTTCGCCCTCCACAAGGCTGCGTCTCCGCGTGCTCTCCCGCGCAGCCTGAGGGCTCGGGAGCTCGGAGCGGGGCTGGGAGCCGTGCCCGCCGCAGGCAGCTCGGGCCCCGGTCGCTGAGGGTCGGCTTTGGCCCTCCGACCGAGCTCACGGGGCGGTGAGCTGCTTGGTCACCTGCTCGTCCTCTGAGGCACGGCTCTTCTGCTGCCCTTCTGTGGTGTCGGGGATCGCGTTCGTGTAGGAGCATCCTCACGGCCCGGCCGCAGGTGTTTGGAACGGGCTGAGCACACCTTGCTTTTAGTTGGTGAGGTTGGCCGCTTCTTGAACGCCGTGTTAAACTTCCTCATTCGCTCGAGGAACGCGGGTCTGAAATCTCTGCCTGGCTTTGCACCGCCCCGGTGTGACAGCCTGGCAGCTGCTCAGGCTGGCTCGGGACCGGCGATGGAGACGTGAGTGATTGCGAGGACCAGCAAGCTCTGTGCTGAGGACAGCCCTGCTGCTGACTGACCCTGCAGGCAGTCGGGCTGTTCTTGGGTGAGGGTGCTGCCATACGGCATTTGGAGATGTAAAAACCTTCCTGCTCCAAATCAGCGGTCAGGTCAGCCTGTTCTGAGGCTGCTTGTGGGCAGCTCTCATAAACAAGTTGTTCCAAACGATGCTGGAACCAAGCCGGTGCAAGAACAAGTTGCCTCTGCTTATCGGATGGATAAAGGGTGGCTGAGAATCCTTCCTACCTCTGCTCGGATTGCAGTAATTTATCCCATAGGAAACAGGATTGTTTCTATTCCTTAAGCTGTTTGTAGCTGCATTTTCACACAGGGCTATCACTTGTGTATAATAAGGTATAATGTCACTGCTTGTAAAGAGAGGAACGGAAGGAGAAAGTCTTCAATATGTTCTCCTCAAACTGGGCAGTTTATGCCCAGGATGCTGTCCAGCACATACGTGGAGAACCTGATCCTCTCCATCCCACTATAGCCAAGCAACTTGTGCTAAGATCTGCATTCTTCTGGGTGGACCAACATTTGTGACAGCTTTGCTTTCTCCTCTCTAAGGGGAGACAAAAGAGTTTCTCGGACACAAAAGAGGAATAATCTGTTCTTTTGTAGCAGAGACAGAGTGCACATCTCAGTGAGACAAAAAGAAGAGAGATACAAGACAGACAGGGTGCCCTTAAGCTGACTGAAGAGTCGCCTCCTTTTAGGAGGTGGATATAGCATTATAGTGTGGCATTGTTTGGCATCAGGTGACTAGGAATTAGTTATGATTTAGCGCTGTTTGCTTCAGTGCTGGTGGAGTAGTCTGGGCTGCTAAGAGCTCATGAGTGTTATGAAACTTGGGGCTGGATCAAATCACTTTGGCTCCTTTGCTGATACTTCCATCATAGCAAATGCTTCTTTATCAGCTGCCAGCAAAGTACTCAGCGCCATTCAAGATCCCAGAGGAAAGTACTTGTGTTCTGGATCAGAAAAGTGAGGAGAGCTGAGTGCTCTGGAAACATGGACCTCAGAGATGTTTCAGAATAATGTTTAAAAGTGTTACAGGAAAACCACGTGGCACAGTTCTTCATTAAATATTTAATCTTTCCTATGAGTCAGACACACTGAGATCTCAGATGGAATAGTTTATATACTAATCACTGTTATTTTTGTTTTTCTCTTTTAGGATATTATCAGCATTTTGATGGTACCTCTGGCAGGCATGAGTCCTGTGAGCCTATTCTGAGTTGTGGAGGTGAAATGAGATCAGACAGGAAGTTGAGGAGGTGGGTAGGATATAACTGGAATTTTAATCCTAACTACTGAACAGGTAAATTTCCAGGGAAGTAGTAGCTTATTAATTCAGTATTTGCTGATGGGTCATTAGGTCATTACTAAGAAAGAAAAGGAAAAGCACTCTTACAAATGAAGGACAGAATGGCTAAGGATGTAAGAGTCAGGCTTACAAAGAGGCTGTTGTTTAAAGGAGTTTAGGTTAGACAGTAAGTAACAGATTAGACAGTAACCATGCTTTCCCTGTAATTATTAAATCTTGTTGCCACATTTTATTTTCTCTTCTGAACTGAGGAAAAGGTTCAATAAATGTTAGAATAGGAAGAGAATGTGGAACTGAAAAAAAGTTGGGGAAGGAGGAATGATATTAAATTGGGTCATCATGACTTGTAGTCATAAATTTAATCTGATTTAATTTAAATAAAAAAAAAGAATTAAAGAGAGACTTAACCTATCAAATACCTTCATGGAAACATGCTTTTTGATAGAAGGGGGCTTTTCAGTCTGATTATTAGAAATTTTCCAAGATATGTTTGAGCAAAGAAATCTTTGTTCAGATATAAAAAATCTGCCTCTTCTGCTGTTCGTAGCATTTCCTTACTACACCATCATAGTCAGAAAAAATGTATTTTCTGTTTTTGTGTGAAGACTGAATTTGTGCTTGTGTTATTATAAGGTACAAGAATTTAATTCAGAAAGACCGTAGCAAATTGCATGGCTAGTAGAGTTTGGTATATCCAACTATTGACCTCGTGGGCTTAAAAATGAGTCTTTCACCTCTGTAGTGAGGGTTGGTTTTTGATTTTTCTTTTTGTAACTTTGCATTTATTACCATTTGAGAGTACAAAAACAAACAAACAAAAAAAAACCCCATCAATCATGATTACACAGCACTGATATTTTAATACAAATACAAGCAGATAAATGAATGTATAGCATTGTCAGTATGCTGAAACCAAAGAAACATGGTTGAGGGCTATATTTTCTCACCCTTTAGTCATACAAAACATAGTTTGCATAATGCAGTTTTCATTTGCATCTATCAAAGTGATCCAGCCATTCACTGACCAGTACAGTATGGTACAAAAGCTAGCACTCAACATTTCGGTTTGCACTTCTTTGCAAAATACAGAATCCTCCTTTATGTTCTATTACCAAAGAGAACAGTCAAGAAGCTGTCCAGCTTCCAGATTTGAAGATGTAGTTAAGTTTTTCCTTCAAGGAAATTGTAAGTGATTTTGAATCTCTGTACTGATCACAGGATCATACAGAATGGCTGGGGTTGGAAGGGACCTCAAGGGTCATTGATCTCCAACTCCCAGTGCCACAGGCAAGGCTACCAACCTCCCCATTTAATACTGGATCAGACTAATGAGTGTTTGGCTTTACAGTCTCATTTACCCTTTTCAAAGTATAAGAGCATCTGGAAGTGTCAGTCACAACTGATAGTAATGCACACAAGTTAATAGGCATATGTGTATAAGGTTAATTAAAGCACTTCCTTGGAAGAGCAGATGAAAGAAGCCAGTACTTCCAAATTGCCCAGGGATGGGCTTTTATTCACAGGCTGTCAGAAAAATATCCTTTTATCCCACGAAGAATTAAAAGAGTGTAGTAAAATGTGTGAGGTTGAAGTCCAGTCATATCTACTGTAACTTGTGGTGACTTCTGACCTTTCTGAAATCCAAGTGCAGATTTGGAAAGCATTGTCTTGGACATGACTCCATGTGTAATATATGCATAGGGAAACCTTAACTTCATGGGTTGCAGTTCTTCAAGTTATTTATGTTGGATATGCAAAATCAAGTAGGATTGCCTACAGTAAAAAGCAAAAATTAAGGCAAAGTCATAATGGAATGTATTTGAACATACTGCCATGAAACATTGCCCTGATCTCATTTTAGTTGCAAAGTCCTTAAATGAACAGAACAAAGATTCCACTTCGGAGGCTGATTAATGAGGTTGTTGCAAACTGAACATTAACTATGTGTTAAGCGTTACTAATTGGTCTTATGTTCCCTATATAACCTGTGAAAGAGTTGACCTCTTACCTTGGTGATTGAGAGCAGATGTACATGGAGGAATCTTAAATTTGTTCCCTCTCCCCTCATTTCTGTTGAAAAGGAGTGTATGGGAATGGAGGGTGTGGGCTTTATTGGCTTTGTCTCCTTAGCTCAATGTTTAAATGTCAAAAATTAGGCAGTTGTAGCTATTCTGTTAGTTTGTTGGGTTTTTCTGTTTTGTTTTTGTTTTTTTCCTAAGGGGGGAATGGATTTTAAAAAAGGAAAGATGTGATAAAAGTTGCTGTCAACCCTCACACTTCTCTGGCAAAGTGCTGAGAGTCTATGCTTAGGTAACAGTAGCAGTGTATTGAACTTCATGTCCTTGAGTATTTGCTCTTTTTCTTCACATTCCCCTATTAGATATATTGTTTTAACTTTTCCTCTTGCATTCCAATTGAACATGTACCATTTGTGATGAACATACTTGGGAAATCAGATATCATTAGAAATCTGAAGCATATAAAAAAACATTTTGAAAACCATACAGTATTGTAGTACATGAGGAGTGGTACCAACGCCCAAAGGTTTTCAAGGTATTTTGGGAAGCAGTTAAACTGATGAAGACAATTATTTGAAACACTCCTTGGCTCTGCAATGAGAGGAGCAAAGGTGATAGAGGCGTGGAATAAACTTGTTTGCATCCACATCCATACAGTAAATGTTTTCTGATTAATCTTGTCTGTTTTGTAAATTAAGATCTATACTGCATCAGGACTACAAGAGGATTTGTCTTCTTCATGCATGTCTGTATCTCGGTCTTCTTTCTGCATAAGTGAAATGATGCAAGGGTACAGTGTATCAGAACAGTGTCCTCATGCAAGAGCTTCAGGCTGTTAAGCAATAGGCGTATTCTGTGAAAAGACCAGAGAATACATATATAGTGTAGAGAAGGAGTATGTAGGAGCAGGATGACCCCCACATTTTGAAAAAGTTCATCTCCAACAGCAGCTGGTGATACCAACTGTCCTTTCACTGAAGTATTCTGTGTGCTTAACTCAGAGCACCAAATATCTTGTCTACAAGTCTGAAGTACCGAAAATGTGATCTGAAAATATTTCAAATGTAGAGATTTAAAACCTTCCAAGAAGGGAGAATTTACCAGTGCCTGACAAAGAACACAAATACAAAAGATTTTACCTTTTTTTGATGTGTGATTTTCATAAGGCTGTCAAAAATTATGAGGCATGATCTCAGTTCTGTTTGCACGGCGTCCCAGGAACAGTGGCTGTATTGCCTATCTTTAAGGAAGCTGGTGATTCTTTGGAAGTACTTCTTCATACTGAGGGTACTGCTCTTTAGCATCTGCATCTGAAAGCTGTTCCATGCCCTTGGTCGTTCTTCCAACAAACAAATCTCTAATTCTTCAATTTGCTGATGAATTCCATTTTGAAATTTTTCAATATTGCTTGTATTCCAAACACCTTTGGGGTGATTTTTGCTAAATAGCTGAAAAGTCTGTTGGAGGAACTCATAGATGACCACTGTTGTATTCTTTTGTGTGATCTTCATGATCTCCCTGGGAAATCTGAAATCAATTGTTTCATTGAGACACTGATGAGAAAAATATCCACCCATTTTGTGTAGGAGGTTCATGTTCTGGTGGTTCATTTTGATTCCTTGGTGAAAGCAAATGTGGTGTGAGATTTTGATATATAGTGCCAAAGTAATGCAAACTCGCAGTAAACTTCTCTGAACCAAGATGGTCATGGTGATGAATCTGTCAGTTCTATCCTTGTGCTGGTCTGCAAGCCTGTAGTTTCTTCTTGTCTCTTCTGTATTCAGATGCTGCTCTTTTATTACTCTGATTTTCTTGCGTGACTTGTTAGGTATTAATTATTTTGTAAGAGCTGTGTTTTTATCAACAGTGATTCTGCCAGTTTATTGTTGGTTTCAATTTCTTTTAGTTGCAAAATATTGCTTATTTTTTCAATAACTTTATTAACTGAAGGAAGAGTAAGTGATTGGTCAGTGAACACAGGCAGATTAGCATCTGATAAGGACTTTTCATCTTATTTGTACTTAAACAGGCAGCCTTGCTTTATGCTGAGAAGTTTTGCTTTTATGCAGAAGTTGGCAAAGAGTATGAAAAAAGAATCACATTTGTGGCTAACAAATATCCATCCTAAGCAAGATGTAATTTCATTTCATTGATTTTAAAAAGTGATGTCTTGTAGGACAAATTGTTTTGTTTGGGAAGTAGCTAATGTTTTATTAGCAGAAGAACCCTTTTGTTGACACAAGCACTGACTCACTAGGGTATTTGTTGCTATCACTATGCTGGAAAAAATATACACAGCTTTGAGGACAGATGCTTTTTTATCTATTATCTGTGATAATTTGCTGCTCAGAGAGGCTTCCTTCTACTGCATAACCAGCTGATTGAACCTGGTTTTTGACAGCTGTCAACCATGCTGTAAGGTTACTGATGAGGGCTTGCTTACATCTAGAGTAAGACAGCTTCTGTTCTGAAGCCTCCTCCTGTGATGATAAGTAAGTCCAGACTCCCTGAGAGTTTGTGTTGGTAGCAAAATGTCCTATTTTGGGGGCCACCATAGCCACTGTGATGCTGGAACATACATCCTAAAATCAGAGCAGTAATTCTGTGAATATTAAGTTTGTGGGCCAGCTGGTAGTAGAACTGCTAGTACTCAGGTTAACTAACATGTCCCAAACAATTTCACAGCCTGCAGTGATTATAAGACCAAGACTGTGCTGCATAAGCATTGCAGGTTGAAATACAAGTCCTTAGCTGATATGGCAGCTCCTGATTGTGCATTAGCAAATTGCTGTATTTCTATGGATTGGTGGCTTCTTCCAGTGTGACTGTCAGCCCACTTAGCTGGCTCTGGTTACTGCAAAACAAAAAACTTTCTGATAGAGTATCAGTTGGAGCCAGTGTTGGATTTTCAGATAAGAAAAAGTTATAAGGC